TGGATGCGGATGTGCAGCGCTGCCTCCTGGTGGCGGTGCGCACGGAGATATCGGAGCGCGAAATCCGCATTTCCGCGTGATCGCTCTGTCCGCCAGCGCATGGCCGAGTAGCGAAATGAGAGTGGCCGCTGGGTGCCCGGTGGCACAGTACTGGGCCGCTGTCTGGAATGTCACGGGTCTGGCGTGATGTGGCCACTGTCGAGGTAAGTGAGTGCTCGGAAGATTTCAGCTACCCACCAACCTCTGTCCCTCAACGGGCCTGGGGGGAGGGGCAGTAGCAGCACTGAGGCACTAACTCACTGCATTGCGAACAAGCAGACACTCGGAGACGTTAATGTTTGTTTGCCATTAAGAGTTCATGCGGTTTCTTCAAGACAGAGAAAACAGGCCGAACGTGGTCTTACCCAAGCAAAGGGAGGAAGGGGGCTTCGCAGAAGGCCTTTTTTGGCATTTTTATTTTCGAACTTCACTCTGCGCAGCCTCCATCCTGTAGGTACTTTACTGCTCCCCGCCCCGCCTTCCCAGGGGCGCTATTTGCAGATTACAGATTTACATTCTTTGAATGACTTTCTTCTGCTCGCTGGTCAACTTTTCCACTTTGGATCGCTTCGTGAGGTAAGAGGGAAGGAGATTAATAAAAATCTGTAAGCGGATGAGTGAGATGAGCGAAGTAGAGATAGCTGGGGTGCCGGGGCGGCATGCTGATAATAATTTAGTTTCAGGGATGTGCAGTGCTGGTGATATGATTGACCAGCGATTGTTGATGAAACAGCTCAAAAATCAAGGTGTTTTCAAGCTGGGCAAATTCACGCTGAAAAGTGGCCAGATCACGCCGATTTATGTTGACCTCCGTGTGCTCTTCACTTCGCCACAAGTTCTGGTAAGCCCATCAAGTAATTTGAGGCGAAGGCATTGCTGGAATCAGTGGCAACATTCAAAGGCAGCGTGCAGTCCGTGCGAATGCGCCTTTTTATTCAAACGTGCTTCGCGGTTGCACTTTTTTTGCGCAAGAGTTTCGCAGGAAAATATGTGCTGGCTTTGTTGCGCTGTGGATTTTCATTTTTGCTTTTGTATATTTGTTAGGTGGAATATTTCTGGACCTGAATGTTGCATATTGCTTGCAGAAATTGACGGCCGAATGCCTATGCGATTTGATCAAAACGAAGGATCTGGAATACGATTATATTGTTGGTGTGCCATACGCAGCGCTCCCAATTTCAACGGCAAATTGTCTATTCTTATTGTTGCTAGATTCATCCCTTTGAACCAGATTTATTTACCTCGAAAGATTCATTTATGCTGCAAGTGAGATCTGTTTGTTTAGCTGATTGCTCATCGTTTGGGCAAACCGATGTTACTGCGTCGCAAAGAAGTGAAATCGTATGGCACGAAGAAGATTATCGAGG